TTTGACGAGTTGTTATGTGGTGCTAAGAATGGCAATACTCACTGACGATGTCGGCAAAACGTTTTGGAATGTACCACGTCCACGAATCAACTTTGGAAATGATCATGCAGACAATGGACTTCGGACTAGATTCGTTTCTCTAAGTCTTCCTACCAATATGACCATGTTGCGAAAACAAGGTCAAACAACTTTTATAAAACGAAACGAGACTGCGGCCACACAAAAGGCCGCGCCATCTTTCTCTTTATACCTTTATTATAAAATATATGCTTTTTCTCAATATTTGTATGTAATCGTAGTTCACATCACTATTCCATTTCATTCTTACAATTTTAGATAAACAGAGACATTATTCGGGATGGTTCTAATCCCCAGAACGATCCAAAGTCAGTGTGGCGTGTACATACATCCTCATTGTCTTGTGGCATTGCTGATATACATTTTAACCTCGTCGCCCCATCTGCCTCTCCTTCACTTTCTGAGGAGCCCTTTGCCTCGCCCTCTTGTCTGCCTTCCACTTCTCCTTCCCGATCAAGCCATATGCATCCTCCTTACCAACTCCCAGTCCTTCCTGTAGTCTGTGGACTGCCTTTTATGGAATCACCCTCGTTAAGTAATGAAGGCCCTTGCGATAATCAGCTCGGGACGGATAATCAAAAGAAAATTGCAGAAGAAGGCGATAAGCTCAGTGAAAGGTGTTCGCCTGAAGGATTTGTCCAAAATTACAATTCGACTGGACTGGATAGATGGCAAATGAATGATGAATCAGAGGTAGCTATCTTTGAAATTCATTTTGATCCTTTCAACTAAGATCTTTATGAAATAAAGCTGTTTTGCCTTGCCAATAAGTCTTCATTTTAATGCAAGGATTTATTTATGAGATTGGAGGCAATTTATTGGCATAAGTGAAGCTGCAGATAATTTTATGTTATCTCCATAATAACTTGATAGTTTTCAATTATCATATATGATTTATTAAAATATTCGTATGAGAGTAGGGTTTCGAGACTACCAGTAAATCAGTGTAATGAGATGTATTCACCCTAATTCGTATAAGGTGATGAAGGACTGGTAGTATAATTTTCCCACAATGATATAAGTTAAGCTGACTTTTCCATTGAATTCCAAATAGCCTTGATTTCCCAAAAGTTGTTCTCATCCAGGCACCAGTGGACTGCAGTTTCGACCTCGCATCGGT